TGCAGCAGATTAGATGTAGAGGGTGAGAGCAAGTGAGGAGTAGAGGATGAACAGGTTGAGAGCAGGAGGGACTGGAAGGATGGTGGTGGTCTTAACAGTAATTGGAAAGTTTGAAAGAGGGGAGGGTTTAAGGGGGAAGATAATTACAGATTTGAACACGTTGGGTTTAAGATGTCTATAGGACATCTAGTTGGAGATCTCGAATAGGCAGTAGGAGATCTGAGGCTGGAGATCAGCAGAGAGGTTAGGGTTGGATAAATTTATCTGAGAACCATCAGCATAGAGATGATAATTGAACACATAGGAGCTGATGAGATGACCAAGTGGAGTCGTATAGAAGGAATAGTATAGAAGAAAGAAGAGAGATTGACGGTAAATGAGGGAGTAGGGATTATAGAAGGGGCAATCTGCTGGAAGAGATGGGATGGAATAGGATCACTTCTGCAGATGGAAGGGGTCTGCCATAACAAGAAAAGCTACCTCTTTATGTGAGACGGGGTGAAGGAGGAGATAGTGGCCTGGCTCATCTGAAGTGTCACAATTTACGAAAAATATTAATAAATTCCAAAGTGTCTGGAGGAAGCTAACTAAGGTGGGGAAGAACCCTGAATTTATGTCATAGGGTACAAAGAGGAGTCTTAGGAAGGGAGCATTATTGAAAGGGAGGGCATGAAGAAGTATTTGTTAAGCACCAGCTATGTGCCAAACATTGAGCTAAGAACTTTACAAATATTCTTATTTGATCTTCATAATAGCCCTGTGAGGTAGGTGCTATTATAAACTCAGTTTTTGGAGATGAGGAAACTAAGGGAAATAGAGCTTAAGTGACATGCCTAGGATAAGGTAACTAGTAAATAAACACCTGAGGCCTACTGTGAATTCTGGTCCTCCTGAATACAAGCCCAATGCTCTATTCATTGTATCACCCAGCATCATGTAGGAGAAAATAGATTTGTTTGCCCCAGAAGGCTATCAGCAATGAATGAAAGTAGTGATGAGGTCAATTTATTCTAGATGTCCAAAAATGGAGTATGGGAATGGGGGTGGGGGGGTGGAAGGGCTGTCACTTCCTTAGGGGTATGGAAGACTGCTTGTTGGGGATGTTTTAATAGAGATTCCTTTCATGTATGGGAATAGATGGCCATTCAGTCCCTTCTAACTCTCAGATTCTGTCTGTTTCTAGCTCCAAATTTTTTACATTGAGCCATTTTTCAGCCATGTCCCACTCTTCATGACCCCATTTGAGGTTTTCCTGGCAAAGGTACTAGTACTAGAGTGATTGCCATTTCCTTCTCCATCCCATTTTACAGATGAGGAACTGAAGCAAACAGGATTAAATGACTTGCCCAGGGTCACACAGCCAGTAAGTATCTCAGGCCAGATTTGAACTCACAAAGAGGAGTCTTCCTTGCTCCAGGCCAGGCACTCCATTTACCTCATCACCTAGATGACTCAAATCTTTTTATCTCATGATCCTAATAATCCCCTCCAACTTTAATGATGGCTAGCATTTGTAAAATATTTTAAAGGTTTACAAAGTGCTTTACAAATATTTCATCTTATTCTTACAACCCTAGAAAGTAGGTAGATGCTGTTATTATCCCCATTTTTACAGAAAAAGAAACTGAGGAGGACAGAGATTGAGTGACTTGCCCAGGGTCACACAGTAAGTTGGATTCTGAGGTCAAATCTGAACAGAAGTCTTCCTGACCCCAAGTCCAGTGCTCTTTCCATTCAGTCATAGAATTACTATTTGAGAAATTTTGAGAGAAGTTTCAACTTCATTCAGGAGGCAATGGAGGACCAACGAAGGCTTCTGAATAAAAGAATAACATAATTATAGAGGTATATTAAGAAGATTACTCTAGCAGTGGTGTGGAGAGTGGGGTGGAACGCTAATAGTCTGGAGGCAAGAAGACTTTCATGGCAATGTGGATAAGAAGAGATGAAGATATTGTGGATGGAGAGACAGGGCTAGATTCAAGAGAAAATGTGAAAGGAGAAATGACCCTACTTGAGAACCAATCAGTATGAGACATAAGACTGGAAAGACTCAAAGTATGAGGCTGGGTGTCTTTGAGGATGGTGGTGCCATTGACAGAGCTTAGAGAAGTTAGGGGGATGAGTGGATTTAAGCAAGAAGATGGTGAATGTGTTTGCAGACTGAATGTTTGTGATGCTAGCTGCTAATTCTTTCACCTTTCAGAGGACCTTTCATACTTTTTGTCTACAGAGATACAGAGATAGATGTGGTTAGTTAGGTAGACATAGGTATATAGATGATATCGATGTAGATATTTCTTGTATGTACTTCCTTATTTACATGTCTCTCTCATTGGAATATATGTTCACTGAAGGCAGGAGCTGGTTTTTTATTTGTTTGGTTTTGTCTTTGCCTTTGCAAATTTTTTTTTTTTTTTATCTTAGTACTTAGCACAGAGCCTGACACACATTAAGAGTTCAATAAATGGTTGTTGACTGACTGACTGCTAACAGGCCAGCCAGGTGGCACTATCCAGTAAATAATTGGAAATATGTACCTAGAGCTTTTGGGTTGGAGATTTGAGAGTCATTTACTTAAATGTGTAATTGAAGCCAGAGGATGAGATCACCAAAGGGAAGAGTATAGAGCAAAGAACAGAACAAATGCTCTGTAAAACTTGGAGTCAGTCAAAGGGCCGCACTTGAGGACCTAGAGGGCCACGTGTGGCCTTGAGGTGGTAGGTTCCCCATCCCTGGTATAGAGAAAGAAGAAAAGCAGGCCTAAGAGAAAAGTAGATAAATTGAGCAATATCAGGATAATATTAATAACTTTATTAAATTAAATATGTTAATAAATAAATAAAATATAATGACAGATATTAATTAAAATGTAGGCCTTTGGAGCAACAAGTAGTATGAAATCTTTGAAAAGAACATATGAATTTAAATGCAATCTGTCTCAGTCTCATCTTTCTACTCTACTCTGCCTCCTACTCACTGTCCATCTGCAGTGGGCTACCCAAAGCCAGAGAGTAATGCATTTTTTATCTACTTTGTTTTTCTAAGTCAAATGCTTTTTAGAAATCAATAAATAATAAACACTGCAGAATCTTCACATCTCTCAGTTATGTGACTATAAAGATGTGATCCAGTGTAGTCAATTGGATTCAATTAAAAATGAATTTATTATGAACCTACTATGTTCCAGGCACTATGCTAAAAGCTGGGAAGACAGAGGCAAAAAACAAAAGCGTCGAAAATTATGGGTAAAACTCTATTTCTTTCTCATGTTTTCACCAAAGATACTTTTTAATGGATGCAAAGACCATTTTCATAAAGATTTCCTACATATGAGAAAGCAGATAGGCATGTGGGTCAGTAATGATTGCTGTCATCTTGGTTGCCTTTTTTTTTTAAAGTAATCGTTTCATCTGTGATCTTTCCCATTCTTTTGGAATCTTCCCTCTCTGAAATATATTAGAAATTGTTCCCTGAGTGCATCAGTCATTGCTTTTACCTTTAAAACCATAGATTTCTTCTGTATGGATTTGGTCAGGTCTGGTTGTTCTTCCTGACCTAAGAGAATAGATTGAAGCCTTGAAGGACCTCTTCAGACAAGGAGTGTTTTTTGCCTTTCTTCATATCTCAGGGCTTTGATCCCCACAACAACCCTGAGGGGCAGATGCTATTATTATCCTCATTTTACAATTGAGGAAACTGAGGATGACAGTGGATAAATGATTTGCCTAGGTCACATAGCTAGTAAGTGTTTTCCTGATTCCAGGCCCAATGCTCTCTCCACTTTGTCACCTTGCTGCTACTACATCTACTCTTTGCCAGACTCTGTGCTAGGCACTGAGACATAATTTGTAGCTATAAAGACATAATAAAATAGTCCTTGCCCTCAAGATATTTACATTGTATATTGGGGGAGACAATACCTACATATCTAAGCATAAACACCACAAATTATAAGGTATTTTTTTTTTCTCATAAGGCTGCTCTCATAACAGAAAGCCAAAGTTACAGGTATTTTCCTTCTCTCTTGACAGCAGTAGGGTAATGGAGAATGACTGCATGAGAAAATCAAATTAGGCTTTGGTGACATTAGAGAAAATAAAATTATTTCTATTCAATAGCCTAAACTCCTAGCAACTTGAGATGGAAATTGAGCTGGCCTTGGAGTCAGGGGACATGTTTAAATCCAGGCTATAACACACAGTAACCAGCTGACCCTGGGCAAGTCACTTAACCTCTTAGTTCCTCCAGGACAACTCTCAAAGACTGTAAGTCCCAGATCCGCACAGGTAGAAGTCAGTTTCCTCACTGGGAGTTCTCTACAGAAATGAAATCACAGGCCTGGACCCTTTCCTACCCACCCCACCATTGCCATCTTTTCCCTTCCCGACTAGGTTCTTAAGGTACCCTGGTATTAAAGACAGCTGACAGTAAAGGAAGAAACAGCTCCTTTCACCCTGGGCCGGAGATTGATTTAGTCCAGCTGTAGCTCTAACCCCGGTAAATACCACCCCCTGGAATCTGGGGGTGGGCAGGGAAAGGATCTTCCCAAGTTCACAAGAGACTATTTTCAGAGCAGTTTAAACTCAGCCCTCCATGGTGGGGCCGCTGCAAAGGAGAATTGGTCAGTTCCGGTCATCCGTGCGTCCCTGTCCCCAGGAGGGCGCTGTGCAGCCACACCTGCGCTGCAGCAGCAGCAGCAGCAGCAGCAGCATTCCCAGGCCAGCGCAGCAGATGCTGCTGATGCTGCCGCTGATACTGCTGGACACGCCAGGAGCGCTCCCCACCACCCCGCCTGGCCCTGCCCACAAGCATGGCGGCTGCCCGCGCTGCTTCACCTCGCCCGAGACTGCGCGAGTCGCTTGCCAGTAGTCGGCACTTCCTATGCTCCGCGGTTTCCTGCAGGGCTGGCATTTAAACGGAGCCGCACAGGCTGGGGCGAGCCGCACAGGCTGGGGCATGCCTCCGCGCTTGCTGCTGCCGCCGCCGCCGCCGCCGAACGGTCCGCAGGCGCTGAGCTGAGCTGAGCTGAGCCTGAGCCGGCTGCACCGGGGGCTTCTCCTGTTGCGACCTGGACTGAGCCGTCTCCTGGGCACAGCAGGGCACCCGCCACTCCCCGGGCGTCTGCCAGGCGCGCTGAGAACCACGGCGGGGGTGAATTTTAACTCAGCTCTTCATTGCAGCTTCAGCCCAAGCCCCCTGAACGGGCTGCGGCTGGGGGAGGTGAAAGCGGAAGGAGCTTCTTTGACATTTTAATTGCAGATGTGACTTTTATGGCTAAGACTAAATAGCACTTAGGTCCTTCAGGTCACAGTTTCTCCACCTTCCTCCCCACGCAGTTTCTCTAGCTGAATGAAGAAGGCACTGGCATTGCTCTCAGGAGAAAGGGGAGAGCGTGTTCCCGATTGCCCCTCCTTGCATGGTAAAGGAGCAGATAGGTCAGTTTACTCTCTGTAGCCTGTATCTTCTTCTGCCTGTGCAGGATAATGGTGAGCCACAACGCACAGTGAGATAAAGGGCGTCTGTGTGCGTGTGTGTAGGAACCCAGGGGTGTTCCTGCCTGTGAGGTGGATGTGTGGGTTGTTGTTTTTTTTCTTCTCACCATCATAATTTTAAAATAAATTGGACCAACTTTTGCTAGCAGTCTCCTCTTTTACAAAAAGCAGATCTGAGAGAGTTGGGGGCTGGGCAGGTGCTCTCTTTCTGTCTGTATCTAAGACCAGGAGAGAGAACAGGCACCTGGGAGAGGCCGTAGAATAGCTTTAGACTGCTGGGACGCCCTCAGCCGAGATGTTCAGTTGGCTTGGTCATGACGACCGAAGAAGGAAGGACCCGGAGGTGTTCCAGACTGTGAGCGAGGGGCTCAAGAAACTCTACAAGACCAAGCTGCTGCCTTTGGAAGAGCATTACAGGTTTCACGAGTTTCACTCTCCTGCCCTGGAAGATGCCGACTTCGACAATAAGCCCATGGTCCTCCTCGTGGGGCAGTATTCCACCGGGAAAACCACCTTCATCAGGTGAGAGAGCTCAGGGTCTATTTCCATTACCCTGTAGATAGGTCTGGCTATGTCAAAATCTCGAACCAGTCTATCTTCCAGATCCCCACCTCCACCTCCCTAGAATCACCACACATACTCAAAGCCTGGGAACGTCTTATGATATTTTTAGACAGCTTGGGGCTCAGAAGAAATCAGGATCATAGGTTTAGAGTTGGATGGAACCTTAGAGCTTGTGTAGGCCAACCTCCATCATTTTATGTTCACATAGTTGGGTGATTAATCAATGCTTGCTTATTTTTTTAAGACGAGGAAACTGAGCCCCAGAGAGGTTGTGGCTTGTTTAAGGTCACACAAATAGTGTCAGAGTTGATATTTGAACCCAGGTACTCTGACTGACTCCAATGCTCTTTCTACTGTACTATGGAACTTAAAAGTTCCTCTGTCCATTACCTCATTCCACTTTTCTGTATTTAACAATGGATGTCTATTGAATTAACTACTCTTTTGCATGACCCCTTTGTGAGGGGGTTGGGGGTGGGGGGAGTAGTTGACCATATTACTCTCCTTACAGATGATGGAACTAAAACCCAGAGAATATGACAGATATGAACGAGATGACAGAGGAAAGTTGTGGTTAGGTTTCCATAGCTCTGAAATTTCCAGGATATTTCTGAGTCCACTGAGGCACACATGGCTTTCCTCTTCTCCTTCCTTGTTCTGGGTTAACAGGGTAGAACCCTGGTTTAACTACCATCCCAGGCCGGCCATCAAAGGCTTGATATCCTGTCATTGCCATCTGTGAACTCAGCCGGGGCTCAAGAGAAGCCTTTGGAGAGCTACACTCCTTCATATGTGTGAATTATACAAGTGAAGTTAAGCTTGCTGGGGCCAGGGTAGGTTAGGGAGGGACAGCAGTTGCAAGTGTGGTTTGTGGAAGGGTTATTAGATAGTTGCATTTGGGTTGGGAAAAGAGCCTCTTTTGCCTTTTGGCATTTCTGGGGAAAGCATCTTTATGTATCATTTTAACCCAGAAAGCTTTGGAGATGACTTTCAGGACCATCTCCCATGTAGTTGTGTGGTTATGTGAGTTGTGGGGAGGCTTTGTACCCTGTTGCCTCTGGGTGGGTGGAGATGGTGGGGACTTCCATGTAGGTCCTCTTTTTGGAAGCACTGATGACCTCAAAAATATTCTAGGCACCTTCCCAAGTCAAAAATTCTACTCCCTCCGAAAACAAAATACTGGAGAAAATTGTGTGTACTTTCATTTTTTGGTTTGTAGAGGCCCTAATACCAAAAGTGATCAGAAAGAAGTAGGCAAACATGGATAAATCATCACATGACTTCTTGCAGGGTACAGGGCCTGGTGATTGGGCCTTCAAAACCTAACTAGTGTACTAAGAGGATGATGGCAAAGTATAGTCATAGAGAAAGAACATGGAAGATAAGACAGTTAATTTTGGTGGCCCAGTGGATAGAGCACTGGGCCTGGAGTCAGGAAGACCTAAATTCAAATCCAGTTTCAGACACTTACAAGCTGTGTGATCCTGGGCAAGTCACTTAATATCCATTTGTCTCAGTTTCCTCACCTGTAAAATAGGCATAATAATAACACCTACCCCCAGGGTGGTTGTGAGGATCAAATGAGATAATAATTGTAAAATGCTAAGCACAGTACATAACAAATGCTATATAAGTGTAGGCTATTATTATTATAGAGAGAACTCTAAAGTTTGCAAAGCATGTCACATACATAATCTCATTTGATGCTCCCAATAGTCCTGATACTCCTAACTGTAGATTACTGCACGTGATATTAGTGCCATTTTACCGATGAAGAAACAAAGGCTCAGATGGTCAACTGACTTGCCGGTGATTACCCTGCTAGAAAGTATCAGAGACTGGATTTAAACCCAGTTCTTACTGACTCTTTTGTTCAGCCTTGTACCCTCCCATTTGCCCTTCTGTTGATGCAAAGAAAATTTTAAGTACTGCTTGTCAATCCAGGTTTCTGTGGTCTCCTTTGCATCCCAAAATGTTAGCCTTTGGTCTAACATGGGGGAAATGGCAGATTTTCCTCTCCCTTTCCTTGAACTTGGTTTTTGTTGAATCATAGGTTTATGAGTGCTGAGAGAGACATTAGTCATCATCCCAGTTCCTTTGTTTTATAGATGAGGAAATAAAAATCCTGGGGGAGAAATAACTATCTTAAGGTAACTAAATGGCTGTCTTAAGGACTCTCTAATCTTGGTCAAACCATGATCAGAACTCTGAGCTCCTGATTCTTGGTCTGATGTGGGTGTATTAGGAGATGCTTATCACCTTGAGAAGATTATCCGTTCCTTACAATAATGGAATGCTTGGGCTAGAGGGGACTTCATAGGGTCAACTTATCTATCACCTTGCCTGTAGGGTTGATCCCAGAAGGGTATTTAGGAGATTTTATGAACTACGACCTCCTCCATACCCCATTCCAGTCATAAGATATGGGATAGCAGAAATAGCTGTGGCCTTAGGTGGTGATCTGGCACCCATCAGCTACAGTAACTGAGAGTCTCTGTTACAGTTTGCTCGTCCATAAAATGGTGACAATAATGTTTCTGTCACCTCCCTCATGGGGTCATTGTTATAAAACACCTACCTCACCCTTTTCCCCTCCCAAGAATGTAAGCTGCCATTGAGAGCTTACATTGAGGTTAGGAATTCAATGTAAGTTGAGGGTAGTTATATTCTAAAATCTTTGTGTTCCCAGTAGTAGGCACTTTGTCAATTTTTCTATTGAATTATTTGGTAATCCTTGCATTCAGATTATTTTTTATTTATTGTATCCTAGTGTAAATGGTGATAGTAAAAGGTTTGAGCTTCCTTGCTCTGGCTGCAGGGTTTTAGGTTGGTGCCTTGCCATAGTTCAAGGGATACTATTTCCTGACCCTAGAAATTTCGCATTACTCTGCAGTGGACTGACTAGATCTTGTATAGTGCATTCCAGTGTGGGTGCCACTCTGTAAAGAGGATATCAGTCAACTCAGTTTTGTCAAAGAAGTGGGGAGTACAGGCAGCTACCAGGAAAGTTATAGGCTTGGAGAGATTTAGTCTGAAAAAGGAAATTCCAAGAGATAGCAATAGATATCTCCAAATATTTTAAGAGCTGTGTTATTGGCTCAAAAAGGCTGTTAATATTTATTCTGTATCTATAAGAAGAGTACCTTGCCACTATGTGCAATTCCTGCAGTTAATGTTTTTCTTCTCTAGTATAGCTCTATCATTTTTTTTTGTGAAATGGTTGTCTGTTTATTTATTACAATACTGAATCACATGTAATTTTCAGGAACAGAATCTTTCTTTTAAAAAAAAAAGCTGACTTATGGAAAAAGAAGTTGACTTTTTCTGTATAACTCTATGGGGGTAGAAGTGGGACCAATGAGTAGAACTAACAAGGAGGGAAATTTTGGTTTCATTCATGAAGAATTTTCTAACCAGAGCTGGTAAATATGAGATAGTGAACCTTTCACTGGGGATATCCAGAGAGAGACTGGGCAAACCATCTCTTTAGGGTGGCTATGGAAAAGACCTCAGCTTTGCATTAGAGTCTTATAGATTTTGTGTGTGTATGTGTGTTTTGTGTGTGTGTGTTGTGTGTGTTGCTGTTTGTATGTGACCATGAGAAAGGTACTTAACTTCTGCCTCAGTTTCTTCTACTGTAAAATGGGGGTGATAATAGCACCAATCTCAAAGAATTAGTGTGAGGATCAATTGAGATAATATTTGTAAAGGGTTTAGCACCTACCTTGAAGGATTGTTGTGAGGCTCAAATAAGATTTTTTTTTGTAAAGGGCTTAACACAGTGTTTGGTACATAGTAGGTACCATATAAATGCTTATTCTCTGATTTTTTTTTTTTTTTTTTGTAAAGGGCTTAACACAGTGTTTGGTACATAGTAGGTACCATATAAATGCTTATTCTCTTCCCTCCCTCAAATGGGATAATATTTGGAAAGTGCTTAGAACAGTGCCTGGTACATAGTAGTTGCTCAATAAATAATTGTTCTTGATTCCTTCCCCTCCACTAGTCCAATAATCTCTATGACTGGGTTTCCTAGTTTTAAGCCAAGGAGCTACTGAGTAGCTACATTTATGGGTTAAGGATAGGAACGTTAGCTGGATGTGATACTCTTTGTTCCCCAGTCGTCTCTGAAGATATCATAACTCCTAGCTTTTGGGACAAGTCATGCTCAGAATTAGAGATACCGGATCACGTGGGAATTAAAAAAAAATGCTGGTGATTCTTTGTGATTGCAGCCTATTGGAATTGTGGTAAGCATCAACTTGGAGCTTTCTGATAGCAAATCCAGTATCTGAAGCCCTTAGTCACTATGTGGCCATGGGAAAGTCACTTTCATAGTAACTATAGCTCACATTTCTAAGCATTTTAAGGTTTAAATAACACTGTAGGTGTTGTATCATATGAACCTTTCAAAAGCCATGTGAAGTTGGTGCTATTATTATTATTTCCATTTTACAGGTGAAGAAACTGAGGCCCCACAGCTAGTATATGTCTGAAGCTGGATTCTTATTTTCAAGTCCAGCACTCCATCCACTATACCTTTCTAATCCATTTCATTTCTTTCTGTAAAGTGGGGATAATAATACTTTTAGCACTTATCTCATAGGGTTATTGGCTCCAATGAGATAATGCATATAAAGAGTTCTGTAAATCTTAAAATATTATATAAATGAATTATTATTATTATTATTATTATTATTATTATTATTAATTACTGTTGCCAGTATTAGGCTCACAGGAGTATGACTGGTCTAGAAGAAGTATGGCACAAAGGGTACTTGGGTAATAGGAACAGATCAGCTCTTGCCTTTGGAGGTTTGTGGAATCCAGCATTGGTTTTCCCCAAACAGTATTTCAGAGCAGCCTGAGTCCATGCCCAAGGGGAAGGCACAGGAAGACAGCTGGGTTCCTGGTCCATCCAGTAACTTCGCTCTGACCCTTCCCCCTAAGATCGGGCT